AAAAAAAAAAAAAAAAAAAACATTTATAAAGGTTAGAATTATGGTAGATAGCCAGGCGTGGTGGCACATGCCTGTAATCCCAGCACTAGGGAGGAAGTTCAAAACCAGCCTGCGCTACAAAGTGAGCACAAGGCCAGCCTGAACTAAACAGCAAGACCCTGTATCAGAAAAAAAAAAAAAAAAAAGAATTATAGTAGATTTCTCCAAATAAACCTTAAAGACCAGGAGACTTTAAAAGGAAGTTCCTCAAGCTGCACCCTCCCCCCCAAAAAAAACTTTCAAGCCAGATTAACACATACACAACAGGGCTTAATTGTATGTCTCATTGCATGGTGGCTTGAACCACCAGTGATACATACATAATGGTCTCATTGGGTGGCTTTTTGTTAATTTTATTAGTAAAGACTGATAAAAGTGCTTAGGTATATTTGTACTACCAGTGGTACAAGCCATCCAATGGTACAGTCATGCATATACTACCAGTGATTCAAGCTGGTAGGAACGTGTTAATATATCCTGCAAAAGTACCTTTCCAAACTGATGAAGAAATGAGTATTCACAACAAGGTGCACTTTAAGAAATTGATGACTACCAAACCAGCAGTCAAAGAATACTCAAGCATACCCTAGACAGAAACAACAAAGACATCAACCTCAAAAGGCCTACTGGGATGTACACATGGAGCAGTGTGAGCAGGGAAAAGAAAGAAATTAGCAACAAAAGCATACAACACAATGACAGGGATCAGTCAAAACCTATCAGTAATAACTCAATGTAAAAGGTCTCAACTCCCCAATAAGAAAACACATGTAATCTTTCAAAAAGCCCATAGACTAAAAATCAAAGAATACAGTATTTCATACAACAGGAACCTATACAGTAAGCAGGAATAGCTATCATATTTTCAGACAAATGAACTTCAAACCAAAACTGATCACAGGAGGCCAAAAAAGTCACTACAAACATACATGGAACAATTCACAAGGAAAAGATACCACCTGCAACATAGATGCACCAAATACCAGGGCACCCAACTTCATAACACAAATACTACTGGACACAAAAGATGAGAGATAAACATCAACACTGTCATAGTGAGGGACTGTACCACAACACTGTCACAAATAAATCAACTAGACAAAAAATAACAAATATTAGAATTGAATCACGCCTTTGAACAGAGTTAACAGATACCCACTGTGTTCAGCCCAACAACAGAAAACCCATTGCTTTCAGCAACACATGAAACTTTCCCCAAAACAGACCCACACTAGACCATAAAGCTTGCTTAAATAAATACAAAAGAATCAAAAGAATCCCACATATTAACAAATCATAGTGCAATGAAATGAGAAATCAATGGCAAAATAAACCACAAAAATCTTGCAAACACATGAAGATTAAATACACCCTTAAAAAATAAATAATACATTCTTAAAGCAAGGTGTGGTGCCCCACAGATGTAATCCTAGCACTAGGGAGGATGAGGCAGGAGGATTGCCTGAGTACAAGGCTAGCCTAAGTGAGACAGAGCTCGAGGCCAGCCTGAACTACACCATGAGACCCTATCTGAAAAATCCAAAAACATAAAAAAAATGTACAAACAATATACTTTTGAGGCTAGGCATAGTGGTACACAAGTGTAACCCTAGCACTTGGGAGGCTAAGACAGGACTGCCAGGAGTTCAAGGCCAGCCTCTTATATATAGTGAGTTCAAGATCAGCCTGAACTGCACAGTGAGACCTTGCCTCAAAAAATATATATACATTGTATATAGGGACATTTTGGGAAGGACTAAAACATATGAACAAACATCACATTGGTGGTAGTGGCTGCCAATGTGGGGGGTAAAGGGAAGGGTACATGGGAACTACTTAGGTTGACAGTATTATTCTTTTCTTTTCTGTCTTTTTGAGACAGGGTCTCACTATGCAGTTCAGGCTGACCTTGAGCTCACTTATGTTGCCTAGCCTGGTCTTGAACTCGCAACAATCCTCTTGTCTCAGCCTCCCAAGTGCTGGGATTATAGGCACACACCACCATGCCCAACTAGTAGTATTCTTGTATACATTGACTGTGGTGGTGATGGTTACATGACTATATATATTTTTCAAAACTCAATGAAGTGCTCACTTGGAAAGGGTGAATTTTTCTGTATTTAAATTATAGCCCAGTAAACCTGATTTAAAAAATAAATACAGAATACGCCAGTACCTTTTCTCTCAGGAACATTTAATTCCCATGTCAGAAGGAACACACAAAATTTTCTGAAGTCAAAAGCTACCTGATCTTTGGTTAATAATTACACTGGTACTTTGTTTCATGAACTCCATTCTCTCCATGATTCTGGTCACTGGTCACAAACCTAACTGAATGAGAACTGAATCAAATTTCTCTACAAGGTCTACATTGAACCCAATCAGTGAGTTTGATTTGGTGCTCCTCCAACTCGGTTTTCAAGCAGAATCATGGATAGAATCAAGCTCAAGAACTGAGGTACTGCTATACCCCAAAGGAAGGCCAATAAGGAAGCAAAATCCAGTGGAACTTTGCAGTTTCTAGAACTCAGGCCTAGGAAACTGAGCTGTCAACCAGAGGGCCAAGCAGAGGGCCCAGAGAATGATAGCACAGTGGGTAAAAGAAGGGCTGCTGTGCCTTTCATCCACAAGTGATGGACAGGTCTGGCCAATAATGAAAGACTAGCAACATGCGAAGTACAGCTTCACTTGTACCTGGAATATATGGAGGTTAATTCTCTCAATACCCAAATCTGAATATAAAGTTATCTTTATGTAATGTTTCACTGCAAGGAAAAAAATTACGCTTTATTTTCTACTAATACTGCTCACAGCAGAAAGCATGAAAATACGTACTGTGTGGCAACCACTGAGACCTGGCAACTGTAGCCCTCCAGTCTTCTGAGCATCCATCAAACACTCCTCAAAAAGCGCATGGCCAGGCAGACAGGAAGAAATGTATCACTTCAGTCCTTGGAGATAATTTAGGGTGAAAATGAAACCTACTTACCAAAAGCATTTCCTTTTCTTTGCACTGACTCCTTGTTCTGTCTGAGATCTGTTAGGTCGTTTTCGATTTTCACTGACTTCAGCTGATACCACCTTGCTGGAGGAAGCCTGTATACCTAACCAGAATTTTAACAAGTTTCTATTATCAAGACTGAGTTCAAAGAAATTATATAACCTAGCTTGCAAAGAGCACAACCTGAAGTTCTAGATTTATATTTCTTAAGGAGCCAAGTATAGCGGTACAGCCTATGAGCCCAGCACTCTGGGAGTCTAAGGAAGGTGCAAGAGTTTGAGGCCAGCTGAGGCAAGCTTAGCAAGACCCTGCCCCCTCTCTAAAAAAATTCCCTTAATAAAAGGGATGAGAGGTTGCAGTTGTAGCTCAGTGTGAAAGCTCTGTCAAACCCCAGTACCACAGAAATAAACAAATTAATTTCTTAAAGTACTGAAATTTTGTACTTTTAGGTGAGATTAATCTCAAATACACAAAGATTTCAAGTAAACACTCAGTCACTATGGGGAGGGAACAAGATTTTTTGGTGGGGGGTACTGGGAATGGAACTCAGGACTTCCCATTTGCCAAGCAGGCACCATGCTGCTGAGTTATACCCCCAACCCTGGAACTGGATTTTTACAGCATCAATTTCCAATTCGTAACTTTGAGGCAGACAGGTTTATTGTCCAGTCCTCCCCCAAATCTAATTATTTGTCCTCTTGTGTTGGTTATTTGTATACAATTGTCTTTCCCTGTTATGTAACAACCTTTCTGCTAGGAAAAGATTCCTTTTTATTCTATTATACCCATAACAGGCATTGCAGACTTAAAAGTTAACAGGAACATCTTCTTTAAAACTGTTTTTTAAGATTAACCTAAAATTGGAAGCAAATACACTGTAGTCACCTCCTGAAGACTTAGCTTCTCCCCACATACAAATAAAAAAGTGTTTTTACCCAGGGCCCAAAGGCCCAAATCAAAGGGTAAGTATGCACAATGTATGCAGGGCAGTAGACAGTAAAATATGGTGAGTCTGCTTTGTTTTGTTGTGGTACCAGGGACTGAACCCAGGGCCTCATACATTACACAAGCACTCTTCCACTGACCTGCACCTTGCACCTTTTTAAAATTTCGGACTGCCAGCTGGGGGTGGTGGCGCACACCTATAATCCCAGCAGTCAGGAGCCTGAGGTAGGAGGATTGTTGTTAAGTTCAAGGCCAGCCTAGGCTACAAAGTGAGCTCAATGCCAGCCTGAACTGCACAGTGAGACCCTGTCTCAGAAAGACAAAAAATAAAATAAAACAAAATTTCAGACTGGCCTTGCACTATGCAGCCCAAGAAGGCCTAGAATTCACAGTGATCTTCTTTCCTCTACCTCTCAAGGGCTGGGATTACAGGCATGTGCCACCACGTCCAGCTTAAAATTTTATTTCAAGACAGTCTTGCTAAACTGCCCAGGCTCTAAGCAAACTTGCCATCTTCCTGCCTCAGCCTCCTAAGAAACTGTAATTACAGGTACACACCACCATGCCCAAGGCTTGCATCAGATTTTCAGAAATGTTCAGAACTGTCCTTTGTGCACAATATGGAGCAGTCTAACGCCAATCTCTCCAGGGTGCCTACAGACCATACTAAGGACACTCCATCTCACCTTTGAGGACAGAATCCTCCAGGCGCTCAGCCATCTCATGGCACTGCTGTTGGTATTCAGGGCTAGTGAAGCAGTGCTTAGGTTCTGTCAGCTTCCGCTGCAGTCGCTCCAGGCGCTTTTGCTCCTTCTCAGCATCCCGCTCAGCTTGCTGTTTTACCCATTCAGCCATGCTGGGAAGGGAGAAAAGAGCTGTAAGTGAACCAGCACAGTATGTATATAAGTGAACCCGCACAGTATGTATATAAATGCTATATGGTCGTACAGCACATAGGCTTTCAATCAAGACAGAGCACATCTATGGTTCCAGAAGAGTATAATGGAGCTGAAAACTTACTACTGCCTAGTGACACTTTAGCCATACTGTTAATGCATGACTGGATATATAAAATGTCCCCTAGATAAATGAAAGAACTATCAAGTTGTGGTATTTCCCTAGAAAGGTGTACTGTGCTCAATGCCAGGATACTGTATAAATTTAACTAAAAGCCAAAGATGATTCTTAAATTATAGGAAAGGTTAAATCCGACAACAAAACTACAATGTAACTAACTTTATATTTCTGATATGCATGGCATGTGTACAACTCACTATCAATAGGAAAGTATGCAGCTGGCTTCAAAAAAAATCATGAGAAACCTCAGTGGTAAATAAAGAGCAAAATGGAGGCTAGATATTGGGAAGTAGGAAGAAATTGTTCAAATGGGAAGGGCAATGGGGGACTGGAAGGGAAAAGGGATTTTTAAAAAAAGAACAGAAGGAAAAAACCAGACACAAAGCTTTTGTACAGGGGGAGGGGAAGAATGGTGGAAAGGAGGGAGGGGAATGAAAAAGACAGAATTAAGATATATTCTACTAGGTACAAATTCCCTATGATGAATGTGAGCACTATGTATAGCAAATATGTACTAATAAAAAATCAAAAGAAAAAAAGAAAGGTAGGTATCTCACGCTTTCTCATGATTGACATCTCGCAATCTCCTTCCACTGAGGTCCCGGCAAGCTTCTCGATTGGTTGTCTTCTCAATCTGAGCACCAAGTGCTCGGAGCATAGATCCAAAACCTGAGCAAAGGTATTCGGAAAACACAAGTTAAAATGTGTTCAAGGATGAATATAAAGCAATTTGTTTCTACTTTTGTTTCTTTGAGACAGGGTCTCACTACATAGTGCAGGCTGGCCTTCAACTTGCTTATGTAGCCCAGGCTCAAACTCATGGCGATGCTCCTGCCTCAGCCTCCTCAGTAATAGGATTACACACATGTGCCACTATACCTGACTCAAATTTATGAAAACAGTCTGGATCACCAGATTAAAAGTGATCTCTACATTCTTTTTATCTTTTTCTTTTTTAAAGAAATGTACCCAAGGTTCTAACCCAAGCAACAAAGAGAAAAGGATTGATAAATCTGACTTCCAACTCATGCCCTTTACCTTTCATTTTACATTTCTGGAATACTACAGTGTAGTATATTCTAAGGGCTTTAGCCAACGCCAGAGATCCCAAGATTGCTAGATCAAAAACTCAGAACTATGTGGTCAGGTTTCTCAGAGAGCCTAGGAGGAGAGGTGTTGTGAAGCTGCCAGCGGGAGCAATACACTTCACTCTTTGGACTCACTTTAAACAGCAGGGTGGTCACAGTCTGAGAGCTCAAGGCTCTGAAACCAAACCAAATCACTGCGGATGAAGATAACCTCAGGGTTACGTGTCTGTGCATCTGGCAAAGTAACGCGACTGTTCAGGCTGTTTTCTCTTTCAGTTTCTTTTCTCTACTTAGACGTTTAAGTACAGCTTTGACTTATCTACACTAACCTGTAAACAGTCACGTTTCCTAAGGTGATTTTAGGTCATCCTTCAAACAATAATGAAACAAAATACTGATAAAAGCAGAAGGATGTTGGATTATTTTAAAGCTCACTCTTTAGCAAACTAGTCAGAACAATACTCATCTTTCTTCATCTAATCTTCCCTACAGATTTAGAGCTTAGGTTCCCTAAGAGCAACCAGCTGAAGAAAGTGGGATTTATATCATGCAATTCATTTCTTTCTTTTCCTTTTCTTTCTCTGTTTTCAGGAAGGGTCTCACTTTGTATTCTAGGCTGGTCTCAACTCTCAGCAATCCTCCTGCCTCAGCCTCCTGAGTGCTGGGATTACAGATGTGCACCACCATGCCCAGCCATATAATTTCTTCCTCAAAAAGACTAAGAAAGAAAACATTCAATTAGATAATAAAAGATCTCATAAAGCAAAACAGAAATATACAACAGAGAACAAAGAATTTGTTCTGGAACATAATTCTAAAGATTATAGAGGTGTTAAGACCAAGTCATGAACACTGATGTCCTACCTCCTTTCCCACCACAAAGTCGAGGTTCCAGACTATAAACGGCTCCATGGTGTACTGGGTCACTGGTGCTAATGAGGGCTCCGTTGCATTTCACAAAGAAGCATTCCACAGGCATACCCTAGAGACAAGTTTTTGGACTTTTAATGCCTTTTATGACATAATGAAGTTTATCTTTTTGTTATTCCACTTACAAGCAGGTACTGTGTTCAACTAATATTTGCTGAACTAAAAATTAAAACTACTAAAAGAAAAACAGCCATTTCATATAATGCATTCTGGGTACAGTTTTTCCTAATATTATCTAATCGTGATACATTGAACTTTCCATCTTTGACAAAAATAAAAACTACTTTTCCTGGTCTAACAGGTCAACTTGCTTATGTAGCCCAGGCTCAAACTCATGGTGATGCTCCTGCCTCAGCCTCCTCAGTAATAGGATTACACACATGTGCCACCACACCTGACTCAAACTTATGAAAACAGTCTGGATCACCAGATTAAAAGTGATCTCTACATTCTTTTTATCTTTTTCTTTTTTAAAGAAATGTACCCAAGGTTCATGGGTACATGAGTCATGGGAGAATATGCAGGGCTCTGATCCAATAACTCCAGAGGTCATTTCCTCTGACTTTTTAAACAGGGCAAAGCAATCTAACATCAAGCCTGGCTCCCAAATTTAAAATCAATAAAAAGCCTGGAAAGTGTAAGTAGACCTAAGGAGAAATGGCAGAGAAAAGTGTATGGCTTTTTTTTCTTATTCTCAGTGCAGGTGGTGGAACCCAGGGCTTCGTGTATGCCAAGTATGCACTCTATTACTGAACTACACATGCCCAGCACAAAGGTTTTTGTTTTGTTGAGATAGGGTCTCACCATGTAGCACAGGTTGCTTTCAAATTTACAACATTCCCTTTTATTTCAGCCTCCTCAGGGCTGGGGTTACAAGGGTGCACCACCATGCTCCCTCTAAGGGTATTCCATTTAACACCCTGTATACGCGTCAACATTCTTAGGGCCAGTTAGGAGCCCGTGCCTGTCTCTTACATCCTATCGCTGCCCAGGTGACCCATACTCACTGCGTATGCATCACACACTGTCAGATCACGTACTGAAAATAAAACCTGTCTTTCTAAACAAGTTTCTGTTGCTACTAATAGAGGCTATTCTTCAAATTTCTACGGAACAAGAAGTACACAGTTAAATCTACAATGCCCAGAATAAAGAATCCAAACACCAATGGAGGAGCATGTATTACTGGTATCTTCCTGAAACAGAAACTCTGAATAATTTTTCTGAACCACATCACACAGCTATTTCAAAGGGTAATCCTTCATTCAGCTTTCATTCATTCAACTATTAAGTAAGTGTCTCCTGTTGGTCTAGGTACATTTCAAGTACTAGGGTACTACAGCAAATAAAAAATCATTATGGTAACCAAGAGAGTCAAAAAGATCTTTAAAATTAGTACTTTTTTTAGCCAAAAAAGAATGAAAAATAATTTTTCCTTTCTGCTTTATTTCTTACTTAAAAATGAGGAGGGGGAGAGAAGTCCCTACTCCCTCCTCCCCACTTCCTCCCCGTCCCTGTCCACGCCACAGCCTTCTAGGGTGATTTAACAATAGCAATAGTTCTAGTGAATATGTGAAAACGAGAACATTCTGTACTGTGTGCAGACTCGCAGTGACAGCCAGTCAAGTGGACTTAATCCCAGGCATGTCGCAGACACAGGCCCTGAACATGCTGCTTCCACATGCAGACCCTCCTTGTTTCGCTTCCTCTCAGCTTCCCTTCCCTTCCCCTCTGTCTCCCATTTCTTCAGATCTTCTCATCCAATAATGTAAAACTCTTGTGTACAGGTTCTTCCCTCTTCTTCTCCCAAATCTTTTTCCCCTCAAAGGAAAAAAATTTAGAAGTCTCCCCCGCAAAAAAATAAAATAAGTACTTTTTCTTTTAGAAATATGCTGCTTCTCCAAACTGCATCATGCTGAGGGAGTATGGCCACTCTTCCTCTCTTCAGCTCAGGTGGACAGATGCTGGTCCCAAAAGGCTGGGATCCAGTTTCATTTCCACAAGAGAAAGAAGCCAAGAACTAGAGGGCAAAGAGGATTGCAAAGCATAGCAATGTCTTTACCAATCGTCTCGTTGTATTTCTCCCCGCTTTTTTACTCTAAAAGCCTTTCCACACTTTGAGGTGGTGATCTGAGGGAAAAAGAGCCCACCCATCTCCTTCAGAGGTAGCTTTGAATAAACCCTTTCTTTTCCAAAGACTGTCTCTCATGTTCCTGGGGAAGAGTGACCAGGACCTCATCAAACGTCCTTTTATAAGTTGTTAAGTTTTTCCCCCACTCTTTTTTATTCCTTATACAGATTAATGCGTCTCATTTTGGCAGACTGATACATACACAGGACATTTTCATCACTTCCCCCCTTTCATTCCCCTGCAAATACTGTTTCTATTCACCTTCACTACAGTTATATTTCTTAATAGATAGAGTGCAATTCTATTTCTTGTTTATTTTAAAATTCTTACTCTTAGCTGGACACTGTGGTGCACACTGGCAGTCCCAGCACTCTGGAGGTGATAGAGGCCACAAGGAGCTACACAGCAAGTTTAAGGCCACCTCCTGGACTACACAGTGAAATCTTGTCTCAAAAGAAGAAAACAAAACAGAAAACTTTACTGCCAACACTCTTCATAGTTAAGACCTTATTTTTTCTGGTCTCCCTCTGGATGTACTGTTATTAAATTTGAATACTATATTCAAAAGAGTTATTGTCAAACACACCAAAAGTCAACTATTTGGGAAAGTATTTCCCCATTTAGATGGTCAAAAGCAGTTCTGTTGATTTTACCCTGAGTTGCAACGTAGAAAGGAAATGAAGTTGAAAAGCCACATTATTTGCTAACACACATTGCTTCTTCATGAAACTGGCCCAGGTCTTCTGGAAATTTGTATTGTTACCACTGGTTAAGCTGATAGAGAAAACAGCCTAGGGAAGCACAGATGAGCATGATTACAAAGGAAAAAAGTTCCAGCTCAAGAATCAAAATTCAAACCAGATTCAGGAAAATCACTAAATTCTTTAGATAACTAACCAGGTTTAATATCTCGTAATTGGTAAAAGTCTGCTTGGGAATTTAGTAAAAACACAGAAATAATTTGAGAACTCCCTGAAAGGTTTTCATTTATCTTTCATAAACAGTCACAACAAATGACCACGAAAACACTTAAGTAGCAGGTCTCAAGAACCCATGCCCTCAACTGGACACGTGTAAATGGCAGGCCCCAATCCACTTCTCTCCACAAGTGTACTGTGGCCTAGCTTTGGCTATGACATACAGTACTTTTCTAGGCAGAAGCTAACAGGGCTGTGTGACAAAATACACGTCCTTTACCCATTTATGGGTAAAGAAACAAAACCAAAACAGAACCACAACTGACGGGGCTGTACTAAGCATTTGCAACAGGAATCTTTTTGTAAAGAAGCAAAACGACCACCGCCACAAAGCAAAAGCAAAGTTACTCCCAGTATCAGGGATTTTTTGTTTTGTTTTTCGGTTTTTTTTTTTTTTTTTTTTTTTTTTTTGTCTTTTTAAGACAGGGTCTCGCTACGCAGTTCAGGCTAGCCTTGAGCTCACTTTGTAGCCCAGGTCGGCCTTCAACTCGCCAAGATACTCCTGCCTCAGCCTCCCGAGTGCTGGGATTACAGGAGTGCCCCACCATGCCCGGCCCTCCCAATATCAGTTTGAAGCGCCACTGGAAAATTCAGCGCCAAAAACTAAAGACCCAGAGAAAGGACGCACCCAGACAGACCAACTCCGCGCCGGACCCCACCCCAGTCCGCCCTTTTCCCTTGTTTTCAGGAACCGTTATCCTCACCAGATGTTGGCAGTGTCGGTGGATAACGTCTTGTACTGACCACCGAGCCGGGGGACAGGGCACCGCCTTACACACGGAGCCGGGGCCGCGAACCCACACTACTGCCCCAGCCTCCGCCATTTCATCCACTCCGGAACCCCGAGAGCGCCGGAAACGCTCGGCAAAGGACCCAGTCGCTCCGGGATGACGCCACAGCTCCGACGGCGCCCCGCCCGTCTCCGTGAGCCCCTCCCCTCCGCTGGAGCAGTCACGTGACCTGGCCGACGGCGGAGTGGGGGAGGGGATAGGAAGGGCCTGGTGAGGCAGATAAGGCGGCGGCGCGCCAGGGCCAGACGTTGCTAGGAGCAGTTGCTGGGGCGGGGCTCAAGGGACAGGCTATAAAGAGCGGGCCCTAGGCCGCGTTCTGAGCGTTCTGGCTGGGAGCGAAGCATCTCTCTGAGCCGCGGGCCCTGCCCTCCTCCTCTCACTGTGGTTATTTTTGGATTGTGGAGCGCGGTGGTGTGAGAGCTCCCGGCGAGTGGGGGGGGGAGGGGCGGAGAGGCCGCATTGCGCACGCGCACCCGGGAGCGGGCGGGAGGACGCGCGCCCTCGAGGTCTCATCCGCCTTTTCGGGGCTTGTCTGGCTTCTGCCGGCCGCGTCCCACGGTCGCAGTCCGCGCCGCAGCGCCCCGGAGCAAGCCGCCCGGAGCTGGCGCGGGCCTGTGGGGCCTTCCCGGACCGCACGCCTGAGAGAGGCGGGATGGAGTGGGAAGGTCGTCGGATGGCATCTGTCTCCTAATCCCGAGCGGCCCACGTTCCCGCCGCCGCGGGGAAAGCGACAAAAATTCATGTATCTGTAGCAGTGTGAGCAGGAACAGGGGCCCCGGGCCTGCGGAATTAAGACTTGTGTCCGCGCCGCACCGAAGGGAGCGCGCGAGCAGGGCCCCCGGTGCCCCCAGGAGGGGGCGCGCCGCGGATCCCCAGAGCGGTGCTCGCGCAGGCGAGGCCCGGCGGCCCAGGGCGCACAGGCCTCCCTGGCGCGCGTGCGCCGTCCAGACCCGGCCACTTGCGTCCGGGCCCGCGCCCCGCCTCGGGTCCCGCACCGGAAACAGAGCCCCGAGCCGCAGTCCCGGCTGCGTCAGCTCTCCTGGAGCTCCGAGACGGCGCCTTCAGACCCATGGGGGATCCGGCTGCTCTGGGGTCGAAGCCGGGAGGGTCCCAGGTCACGCCCGCCTGAGCCACACCAGGGGATTTCAGAAGTGTTCAGGGCTGGCTGTGTAGCTCAGTGCAAAGCCTTGGATGCAGTCCCGCATAACTACAAAAAAGATCCAAAAATGGTTACCTGGAGAATCTGGGTCTTCCTCCTCTGCGAGTAACAAGGTAAAGGTCAGTCTATGTTTACATAATACTTTCGTGGAATAATGCATTTATTCCATAAGGCTGAGTTAAACCCTAATAAGTTCTATATCATGTATTCCTGACATAACCAGTCCTCTCCAAATCTAAAGTCTGAATGGAATTATGCACTTTTCACCCTTCTGTTATATTTAAATTCCTACTTTAAAAATCCCAAGGATTGAATAAGAATTTCTCACTTAAAATGTGCAATAAAAGAATTAAAATATAGACATGTAAACATACATGAAGTAACAATTATTATTAACCTTTCAAAGAAATTTCCTGAACAATAAGTAAGCCATGGTTAGACCTTCACAACCTGACACAGACCAGACGTCAAGTGAGAATTGGCTGATCTCTGAGGAGTTACTAAGGTAGTAAGTCTACTCCCAGTGTACACTGGAAGAAACATTTTGCACTGATGTAAAGCGCTCTGTCCTACGGATGCAGAATTCTACTTGGATTGCTTACTATTAAGTTCATGTAAATAATAGGAGAAATTGAGGTACCTAAAGTTAAGGTTACAGCCAAGAACATGGTGCGTATCAGTGGATGAAAATCTAGAAAGACAACTGACGGCTGGTGCAGAGCGCACAGTGCAGGGCAGGCGTCCGCGCCCGGCAGCCGTGCTGCGGCCGCGCCGGTCAGTGATCATAGGGGAGCCGCCGCCGCCCCCCGCCGCGGTGTCGGGAGGGCGGGCCGGAGCGCTCGGCGGGACTCGATGGCGTGCGGGCCGGCGCCCGCTCCTCGTCAAAACTGCAGCCTCGCGCGCAGGACTGGATTGCTGTTCCTCCAGTGAAGCCCGGGCTTCTCCAGCCTGAGTCCTCGGTGACTCCAGCTGCACATCGCTTCGTGCACACCGGCTCAGCAGTGAGAAGGACGCAGGACGGCACCCTGAGGCAACGCAGAGTAACTGTTCCCTGGCAGGAAGTGACAGCACCAGAGGCAGTGCCTGGGTGGCAGCTCCTGGCAGTCGTGCTGGTCCGGAAGAGCAGGAAGCGGGTCTGCGCTGGGCAGTGTCCGCGGACCGCAGCCGGGCCGCCGAGCTGGGCGCCTGCAGGCTGCGCGCGCGCGACGGCCTATCTGGGCGCTCGCGCCGGGGGAGGAGGCAAGGCGGACGCTCGTACGCTGCTCAAGGAAAGCAGCGCCTCCTGTGCCACAGCTCGGCACTGCCACACTTATCCCCATTAGCAAGGGGCGAGCAGGTCAGCTCCTGGGACGGGAGACCGCGTCTGGGTGAGCGCAGCGGCGCCCACACCCGGTGGGCGGTCGAGGGCAGGCGGGGAGCGAGCCCCGAGGCGTGGGTGCCGCGTCACACCCGCCCCGCTCCTTTCGTTGGGTGGAAGAAAAGAGCGAGAGTCGGGGTGAGGGAAGGGCGGGAAGACGCTGGTGCCCCAGCGCCTCGGTCCGGGAGGAGCGGAGCGAGCGGGAAGACTAGAGAGCAGAGGAACAGGGTGGAGAGAAGCTGGCCGCGCCCCCAGGGCAGAGGCAGAAGCGCGCCTCTCTGTACTCCTGTGTCCGCAAGATCAGGGGCGCTTCCTGCGGCGACTTCCACAGATAGTTCTGCCGCCCACTGCCCTGCGAATCACCTAGTCTGCCTTAGCAAGACAGCACTACTTCACAACGACCCTCAACTATCATTCTCACCGTCACCATCAAAATGTTTGTTACATTAAAAAAATTTAACTTCTGGGAGCTCGAGATGTAGTTCAGTGGTAGACTCACCTAGCACGTGAAAGGCCCTGGATTCACTCCCCAGCATTTAAAAAAAATTTTGCTGTAGTATTCATTGTACTAGAGATATAAAGAGAAACTACCAGCGTCTTCCAGAAATTTCATGTTAGCACCATTTTTTTTTAATACAGGATCTTACTATGTAGTTCAGGCTTGGACTCATTGTGTAGCCCAGGCTGGCCTCAAATTCACGGTGATGGTCCTGTTTCAGCCTCCCTAGTGCTAAGATTACAGGTATGCACTACCACTTCTGGCTAGCACTGTAATTTTTCAAATATGGAATCTGATTTCACTCTAGTCAATAAAAATCCTTGATCCTGTATGAATTCTGCATAGCTAAACCTTTCAAGAGGGGGTTTCCTGCCACATGTGCTGGTGCTTGACTATAATTCTAATGCTCAGGAAGCTGAGGCAGGAGGATCCCAAGTCTGAGCCCAGCCCACACTGTGCAATGAGACCTTGTCTCAAAGACACAAAAATGGCGGGGGCAGGGGTTCTTCCTGGTCTTTAGGGGTATTTTTCTTTAATTAGTTGATTCTTAAGTTAATTATTTCTACTGTATTAGGGTTCTCCAGAGAAAAAGAACAGGAGAATAAATGAATGAATAGATCGATAGATGGAAAGATAGATAAATAAGGAGGTAGCTCACCCGTTTCTACAGGCCGACAGGTCCCAAGATCAGCAGAGTAAGTGGGCAAGCGGGAGACCTAGAAGAGCTAATAATGAAGTTGCCATGAAGCCCAGCAGGCTGGAGACCAAAAAAGAGCTGATGTTTCAGGTCCAGTCCTCAAGCCCAAAGCTGACTGTAAATGTATATTTATCCTGTGAATAGAGTACAATCCTCTGGACATTGATAGAAGGGGAGAGATGATGTAATATGGATCATGTGCTTCTTTTTGTTTTCTTTTTTGGGTACTGGGGATTGAACCCAGGGGGCTTGAGTGTGCTAGGTAAACACTAGTGCTGAGCTATGCTCCCAGTATTTATTTACTTTAATGTATTTATTTTGTGTATGAAAACAAAAAATACTGGGGATTAAATCCAGGGCCTTCACACTGAGCTACATCCCCAGGCCTTTTTTTGTTTTGTTTTATTTTTATTTTGAGACAGGGTCTTGCTAAATTTCCTAGGCTGGGCTCAAATTTGTAGTCCTCCTGCCTCAGCCTCCCAAAATACTGGGATTGTACACATGTGCTGAACATGTGCTGCTACTATGAGATGCAACAAGTTACATGAAGTCTCCAAATGAATTACAGTGAAATCAGAGCAGTGTTTCTCAAAGTGTATTCTATGAAACACTAAGTCACCGTGATGACCTATAGAAGCATTTTATTTTCAAATGCGTTTGGAAGGACTCCTATCTTGGGCTGCTATAACAAAAAACCATAGACCAAGTGGCTTACATTCTGTGTCTCTGTGTTTCATCTTAGAGGTACAAGCTCGTAGGTTGGCTCCCTGCAGACACAGAGCACACAGGCACTGACCCTAAGTCCTCGGGGTGTTATGAATCCCAGTCACTTCAGTTCCTAAAACCAGTGCAGTAGCCTGGACCCTGAACAGACCCCAAAGGCTGCCGTCTGAGGCTGGGTTCCCAGGAGGCGCAGTGGGAGTGTGGGGACCTTGGGAGGTGGGGCTCATGGTAGATCAAGGTCGCTGTGCACTGCCCTGTAGGGGACAGGGGGACCCCAGCCCTTCCTCTTTCTTGCTTCCTCACCATGAAGCAGGTGCTTTGCTGTTTTGCACTGACCCCTTTATTACCATCTTGCCGTTGTATGGCATGTATTCAAAGAGTGTCCTGTTGTATGGCATGTTGTCCAAAGTTTGAATGATTCACACACGTCTGTGGGTGGGCATCTGCAGTCGTTGCATGGTGGGCCAATTGTGTCATTGTTTCTCTGTGTCATGATAGATCTCAATTGAGCGGCGGCAGCCGGCCTAAGGGCCAGCGCGCAACAGCGCTTGCTGCCGCAAGGCTCCCCATACGCCGGGGACCCTCCCTCCGGGAGCCTACAAGGCAGGAAGCTAGCCAGCAGGAAGACTGGCACTCCCCACCCGTGGCTCCCTGTACGCCGGAA